GCCCTGAAAATATATCAGGAAAGCATAACAGCTCCATGACATACTATAATTTTTTTATCATGATGCCATTCACAGGTCATCTCACAGGAGATTCAGTTCTGTCCCACAGTTAAATTGTAAATCTTTCCAGGCTCCTGTGCCAGTGAGCAAGCTACCATAGGTGTGGGAGGGATGAGCCTTCCAAGGGATGCCCCCACTTTACTGCAAAAGTGGTAGGGAGCAGATGGGATCCCTGTTTCTACCAATAATGCAACAGCCATTTTTTCTGGTTCACCCAGAAAATCAAAGTGAGGAACTAGAGCTCAGGTCCTCCCAGGTATTTCCATTAATAGGCAGAGGGAACTGAACAGCAACCTTGTGACTCTGCTCTGAGGATGCTATAACTATGCACTGATTTTTTTGGAGGGGTTGTGACAAAGCCAAAAGAGCAGCTCAGAGGTGGAATATGTGAGACCTCACATCTTTTCACCACAAGAAACTGACTGTTAAGGCTGTGTGTGTGTGTGTGTGTGTGTGTGTGTGTGTGTGTGTGTGTGTGTGTGTGTGTGTGTGTGTGTACACACATATATTTAAATAAATGACCTTGCTGATGTCATTGCAATACGGTAATAGGGGAAATGGTATCAGCAACAGTGTAAAATGTGGTTGTGTAAAGGAAAAATGCATGATAAACATCTTGCTATTTTCATCCAACGCAGTTTGTGGTCACAGAAAAAATACTTGCAACTAAATTTATTTGAAAGGGTGTCACCTAAAAGTTTACCAGTTTTCCATTGCATGGTAAATAATATATATTCAAGCACTTAATTTGCCAGAGCTAATTGACCTTCCAAACTTGACATGAAATAGCTTTAAAAGCAATGTAACTGCTAATCATAAAGTTCTGTTTTTGTAAATCTACCTTTACTCCATTCTCCACTTATGATGTTGGTTATTTGTATTTGTTTAAATATTCCGTTTCTTAAACTTTACAACAGAGCTCAATACTATTATCCCCAATTTGCAGATGATGAAACTGAGGCATGAGTATGTGAAATTATTTGCCTACTATCATCCATCAGGCCATGACAGAGGCAGGACAAGGAAGCAGATCTGGTATGCTGTGTCAAAAAGGTCACATTGTAACCAATAAGCGTGGCCGTGTGGTATGTGGCACTGCAGCCATGTCTGTGGTGCCACATACTGCATGTTCAGTGGTTCTCCATGCTGCAAGGGAACAGTGTGGAGGGATTTTTTGACCCCTGGATATCCTGGTCAAAAAAAACCCCATGGAGGAAAAAAGGGCAGGGCATGTTGCTCAAAAGTGGAGCCAGGCCACCTGGAGCCATGCTGAAGCTGTCAGACAGGCTCCGTGCAGCAGAATCACCACTGCTGCATCCTCAGGAGGCCCCCAGGACCCCAAGTAAAGCTGCTGGAGCCAGCCCAGTGCTGGCCCCAGCCTCCCCTACCACCGCCAGGGTAACTTGCCAAGCACCGGAGCATGGTTGGAATGGGTGTTCCCCATGGACAACTAGCAGCAGTGTAAGGTGCGCTGCTGCTAGTTGTCCTCAGGGAACCAAACATCCACTCCATGTGCTGATGCCACCATTGTGAGCTTTCTGTGTAACCTCAGAACCCATGCAGAGTTGCAGCACCCCAGTGGGAGATAGAACCAGTACCTCCGGGAGGCTCCGCTGTAGCATATCCAGATGTGTAACATAAGGCCCAAACGCATAAGGACCAAAGAGGGAAATAAGTCAGTTTGGCAGAAAAATTTCTATCAAGCCCCATTTTTGGTAGAAAATTGAGTTTTCAATTAACATTTTGTTTTTAAAATTGTCTGCTTTCTATAGAAGACATCTTGTCCTTAAAAAATAAAAGTGTCTCTTTTACCAAAACCCAGGTATTTTTATTTTTTGATGAAAAGTTGAAATTTTGGAATAGAAAAAAATGATTCTGTCCAAATACTTTTCCTTCCCATTTTCATAGCAATCTTTTGCTTCCCTCTATAACTTCCTCATTTTACCTGCAGCTCTTGTAACCATGATGGTTTGTACAAACTCCCAGAAAGGGAGAGATCTTTCAAGGTGACTAGGTATAGCACTAGTTAGATCAAAAGCATGTATTGCTGGAGTGAGAACAGGTAATAATTGTGCAGAAATGTGTGGATTTACTCATAGATAGTACATCACTTTGGAACTAGGTCTTCCTGTGATCTTTTATCTGACCATTGAAAGAGCAAGTTAATTCTTTGATACAGCAATCCAAAAGTGCCAGAAATTATCTGAACCTTTTACCAGTGCATGCAGTGATGATGTAGGTGGTTTCCATACCACTCACATTGCACCTCTCATCTTAGAGGCTGATAAGGATGAGGAAAAGACCTTGTTTTACCAGTCTCCTGCTCACAGAAGTCGCCTTGAGGGCTATACCCACTTGGTGTACCTCAGAAGGGCCTGGGCAGGGTTTCCAAGGTGGCACTCCAATATGCTTTATGACAGGACTTGGTTTGGTATAGAACTGGTCCTGTATCAGGTAACCACAACTGACTCCTTTGCCTGTACTTCAGTGACCCTACGTGAGAAAGCTTATCATTTTGTAATTTCAGCCTTTCCGTATCTTATCAGATGGTAATGCATGTCACTCATTTCCTTTTACTTTTATGTCAAAAAGCATAAGATCAGTTCTGTTTATCTCATGAAAAAAATGAGTCAATTTGAAACAAGGACTGATAACGCCTGCTTTTATACAATAATGGTTAATATTTTTTTTCTAAATACATATTCTGTAAGCTGATAACAGTAAAAAAAAGTATTGCCTAAGTAATGCATTGATTGCTTTGTATATTGCTTGAGTATTATCCAGCCAGATGATTGAAAAAATGCAAAAAAAGGTGAATGGTGGTATAATTTACATGGCAGATGTTATCTGTCAAGTACATGATTGCCAATGTGCTGTTGTCCATACTGGGCTCTGATCATGCACCCAAATCAATGGCATTCGTTCCAATTAATTCACCAAAAGTTGGATCTGAAGCACTAGATCTTTTGACCCTATTGGTCAATCACCAATGCTTTAAGCGATTTAGGATTTGCTGGGCTAGTGTGGGATATGCAGAATTATCTAAGCAATTTAGGAGATGTCTCATTTGCTTAAAAAAAACAAGCATATGGAAAAAGTTATCAAGAATTTCCATTAGCAGGCAATAGGAGCACACCACAGGGGGCACTACAAAAAAATGAGAAACTAAAGAGACTGCAGGAGAAAAAGGCAAAATGCTCCAGGCAAGTCAGAGTCACTACTAACCCAGGAACTTTTTTTCTGTGCTCTGCATACTTGGCAGCATCACTTGAAACGAAGTCCAGGCTCCTAATTGTCATGTTGAAGCTTTTATTGTGAACTGAAATGCTCATATGTTTTTGTGGAGACTAAGCAAACAGGTAACTTTTTGTTTTCTTTTTACTTCAACTTTACCAGAAAGTGCATCTTTTCCCTGCTGTTCTTTTCTTTGATGTTTGCTGTTAATGGAAGGAACTAGACAGAATGGAAAGTAAAGAGCTCATTTGGGGAGAATTGAATGATCAAGGCAAGAAGTAAAAAGAAATCTATATGAATTTCATTGAGATTTTCTGATTCTGCTCAGGGTTTGTCATAATTTTATTTTCTCATACGATGTGTGTTTATCATTTCAAATATTATCTAGAGACTAGTTTGAGAACCTACAACAAACAGTTTTCTATCAATAGTCAACAGTTGACCTGGCTGAGAATCTTGGCAGGTTTATTTATCAGAACTAAAGATTGTTCATGAGAAAGTGTTGGATATGACACAGCTCCACAGTTTAAAAAAATGTGAAGAAATAGTTTTGAAATCTTTCTTTCAAGATTTTACTTCATGTATATTAAAAATAATTGACTAATCAGGTGAAGTCTAAATGAAAGTTTTCTTTTGACTCAGTCCATTTTTTTCAGATTACTAATGCACAACACTTCTTAACATTCCAGGTTCTGATCACATTTGATATGGGAAAATATCTTAAAATATGAGACTCTCATGAATAGAAATTATTTCTTGATCAACTGTATTCAATAGGATTATTAATACCTCATTCATGTTTGATCCACTCTAGTGCCTTCCTGCCCTTTCTATCCATCTAGGTTTAATAGCTGAAGATATTCCTGGAGAATTAATTGTTAATTCACTTTCATGAGTATTCAGCCTATAAATCTAACTGAAAATGCTATTTTTTTTTGTAAGCAGGGTATAAAACAATCACAGCTATACAACAGGATTAGGTTTACAAACTTCAATAGCAAGCAAGAGTATAAACAATATTAATAAAATGCCAAATAATTTTGAATAATGAATATACACGAGAAAACTACAGACTACTGGTAGGCATTTTATGGACAAACATGTAGTACAATTATTAGAACAAATTAATCACCATAAATTATTCACTAAAATGTACCTAATCCAGTATTAAACCAGACTCTTACAGGTCAAATTGCTATTTTATTCTGAATATGACTAGATCAGGAAGGGAAAAGAATTAAGTTTACAAATAAAAAAAAAAATCAAAACTGTGAAGCATAGCTATATGATGATCACTAAGTGATAGAATCTAACAGGTTTTAGATTGTCAGATTTACTAGTTCTTGTTTATTCTGTAAATGTTTCATGAATTATCCACTAACTGAACTTGGTTCAAAGAATCTAGCCTGTCATAGGTTCAGTTTAAAATTAATACTTGAAATAAGATCATCTCCAGTTTCTACCAAGATTTCTCTATTTTCAAATATCATTCCTAATTCCTAGGTGACATAAAAGACTGCTCTGAAACAGCTCTGCTCTGCTCCTGCTGTACTCAGCCTTGGTGAGGCCGCAGCTGGTTCTGGGCTCCACAATTCAAGAAGGATGTGAAGAAGCTTGGGAGAGTCCAGAGGAGAGCCACACGCATGATCAAAGGGCAAGAAAATAGGCCTTATGAAAAGAGAGTGAGATCCATGGGACTCTTCAGCCTGGAAAAGTGCAGGCTCAGGGTGGGACCTGGTGGCTTCTTATAAGTATATAAGTAGTGTGCATCAGGATCTGGGAGAACATCTGGTCACCAGAGCGCGCCAAGGAAAAGCAAGGACCAATGGTCATAAACTCCTCCAAGACTGTTTTAGGCTAGACATAAGGAAAAATTTCTTTACTGTCTGAACCCCCAAGCCCTGGAATAGACTCCCTCCAGAAGTGGTGCAGGCACCTACTCTGGACTCATTCAAGAAACATTTGGATACTTATCTTGCTGGGATCCTTTGACCCCAGCTGACTTCCTGCCCCTGGGGCAGGGGGCTGGACTCGATGATCTTCAAGGTCCCTTCCAGCCTTAATGTCTATGAAATCTATGAAACACTGAGCTGTCTGAGTCTGAGGTGCTGCAAATCTTTAATGATTCAGATGGTTTTTATGCTTACAAATTAGCATCATAACAATAATATGACCATAAGTCGCACTAGAAGCTATTATTGGGGGGGCTTGGTGGTGCAAAGCATGCCCACCTGCCCCTGCCCCTTGTTCCTGCTGGCTGTTCCAGAGTCAGTGGGTGCTGGGCACAGTGCTGCATCAGTGGTGGTGCTGGAACTGCTGTTGCCTGCCCAGTTTGGGGGGGGGGGGCACCTCCCATAGCCCTGGCCTTCTGCCACCTATGAACGTGACCAAGGCTAAATCTGGTCATTTGTCTCATGAGAGGTGAGTTTCTAGAACACTCTTATTGGGTGTCAGGTAGTGTTTCGCAGGAAGCTTTGGGCTGTGTGGGGAGGGAAAGATGCTAGGACAGGGGCAGGCAATAATTTTGGGTGGAGAGCCTCTTACCAAGTTTTGGCAAGCTGTTGAGGATCATATGGGTAGCTCCGCCCCTTGACAGGTGCCCTGCCCCTGGTCACCATCTTGTGACCAGAAGACTCACCCCTTAACCCCGCCCTTTGCCACCAGAAGTCCCTCCCCTTGCCCTTGGAAATACTCCTTTCAGCAAGGGGTTTTGCTATCTCAGAACCAGAAGAATACTAAATTATATTCTAAAAATCAAACATCTACAACATTCATTAATTTGATTTCAAAAAATATTTTTGTGCTGATCCTGCCCCAGCTCTATGGTTGTCGGCAGGAAGGGAAGAGGGTGGGAGAGGGGGAGTGAGCTGCCAGCTGGGGTTTGCCCAGCTTGAGTTAGAGGCAGGGGGGGTGGGGGGTGGGGGGGGGGGGGGGGGGGGGGGGGGGGGATGTCGGTGTGTGGAAGGGTTGTGGGGGTTAGGTGTTGGGGGTGTGGGTGTGGAGTGAGGAAGCATGTGGGGGTGTGAGTGAATATGTGGAGTGTGGGTGGGTGTGGGGTTTGTGGGGAGATGTGTGGGGGGGAAGGTGGCTGGGGTGTGTGAGGCAGTGTGGAAGTGGGGTTCTGCATGTATGGCAATGCAAGGGGGGTGTGGGTGCATGTGTATGGTGGAGTGTGCATGTGGGACTTGCCCTATGGACACACACACACAAATATACACACACTCACTCTCCCTCCTACCCTCACTGCACACACACACACACACACACACACACAAACACACAATCTCTCCCTCCCTCATTGCTCTCTCTCCCCCTCTCTCATTACACACACACACATTCTCTCTCTCTCCCGGCCCTGGGCTACCGTCACGGGCCCTGTGCTCCCACGGTCCGGTGATGCAGCCAGGGGGTCATGTGGTGCTGAAGCACCTGGATGTCATGCAGGGAAGCAGTGAAAGTTGTGGCAGGCAGAGACTTTGCGGGGAGCAGGGCCAGGCTGACATTTCTGCTGGCTCCTGCCAGCTTCCCCTGGGTCCTACTGCCCCTGGCTCCTGTCATCTCACACTGAGAAGCCAAGGTGCCTCTGTCTCTATGTGTATACTCCCATCACTGCTCTGACCACAGTTCATGTAGAGACAGCCAAGATAACTCTATACCAGCTTGTTCTAATACCACTGCTAGTGGTGCTGCAGAAGCATGGAATTTAGCATAAACTGCACCTCCCCCTAAGGAGCTTGTGCTGACTCTGCTTCAAGCATTAAGCTGTTACTTGCTAGCTGAGCTAGCTGATTTAATGTTAACTTGAGTAGGTCTGCCTGTCTGCACAGTCATTGCAGCATAGCTGCACTATATATGCAGGACTGCTTGGCACAGTATCACAAGTACTGATTTTTCCCGCCAGCATTCATCACTAGTTAGTTTGCAATGGGCCTAATACCATTTAATGTTTATCAGTGGGTGCATCTACATGTGCATTTACTGTGCAGTAACTTACTGTTCAGTAAGTGGTTTTTAGGCCAGTGTCTACACATGCAGCCATTAAAGCACAGTAACGCTGTGTGTGGTCTGACTGGGACTGAAGTTAATCCCCAGTCAGCCCACACACACAGTGTTACTGCACAGCAAGGCTTCTACGGGTGCACTACTGCACAGTAACTAATTGGGCATAAATTTGATACATGTTCATTGATGTAGTTATATCATTTAGCATGCAGTCATTGTAACCATTACTTTTTACACTTTTCCTATATAAGAAAACGGTGAATGAATTTGGAGGGAAACTGAAATAAATTCAATGCACAAAAACATCATTTACATTTTTTTCTAGCAATTAAATAAGGATTCTGTAGATATGCTAGACACTCAAGAAAAAAATGAGTACATCTAAAATTATTCTGCATTCGAAACTGAGGGGTTTATTAAACAAAAGTCATGTTATTTGTAGTTAGTGAAATGAACTAATTGTTCATGGACTTGATTCACAAAGGCACAGTGCTGCAGTGCATAACACTTCAGCCCCCTACTGCTTATGAGAGTCTGTAGTTTGAAGTTAATACTGCAATGCTGAGAAAGTGGTAGAGGGTCATACCAAAGAAGTATTTAAGCACTTAACTCATATTTATTTAAATCAGTGGGAATTTAGGCATCTAAATATGAGCTGTTATGCCTCCAAATACATCTCTTTGGATCCGGCCCTAGAAGCTGAAGAATTGGATCTGCAAACCCTAGCACAGCAAGTGCAAAGCCAATTGAGCTAGCCAATAGGAAAGAAGAAGGATGTGGTGGGTCAAATATAAGAGAAGCTTGTATTTTTTATAAAGAGGAAGAATAAATGTCTTGTTACATTACAGATCTCTGACATCGTGGTTTACAGAAGCAGCACATCATGACGACAAATGCAACAAATTGCACCATGGAGCAAATAAAATTTCATTACTATATTAAACTCATTCCACTCTTTTTTCATATCCCAATTTTTATTTTTGGAGCAATATTTAATGCCCTTGCACTGTGGGTGTTCTGCTGCAAACTGGTCAAAAGGACAGAAACCAAAATCTACATGATCAATCTGGTCATCGCTGACTGTTCTCTGGTCTGTGTATTGCCTTTTTTGATATATTTCCACCAGAAGAACTGGCCCAGAGATGAAGCATGCTTAGCTGTAGAAATAATGTATATGGTAAACATGTTAATGAGCATCTATATTATCACTGCCATTACAGTTGACAGATACATTGCAATAAAGCATCCTCTGAAAGCAAAGAGTTTAAGATCCCCATTGAAGGCAGCTGTTACCTGTGGGCTTCTTTGGCTATTAGTGATAATTAGCTTGTATTTACGTCGAAGATCAGTGAATGAAAGTATATGCTTACAAAAGATTTCCACCAGACCAACAATCTTTTTACCATTTTTATTTGTCTTTGGTTTTCTCATTCCTTTAATAATCTTGAGCTCTTGTTCAATACAAATTATCAAGACTCTTAGAAAAAGGATTCACACAAATCCACATGAAAAAAAAATATTCCAGAAAAGTATCTATGTTGTTTCTGCAAATATGACTGTATTTATAGTATGTTTCTCACCCTTCTGTATTGGGGAATTTGCTAGGTTTGTGATGGAAAATGGTACAGTTAGCTGCTTTGCTATTCAGAATGTTAGGAACTTTAATTATATAGCCATGTGCATAGCAAATTCTAACTGCTGCCTGGATACCTTTTGCTATTATTTTGTAGCCAAAGAATTTCAGGAAGCTTTTTTCTTTTCCAAATCCAATTGTTCTGGGACAAATCAAACCTGTTCATCCCAAAGGCAGATAAATGTAACAGTGATGTAACAACATTGCCATGCAAAAGCTAGAAATAACAAGAGAAAAAACAACCTTTATCAGTCTTGGATACTGATAGCAATGTTTCATCTCTAATGATTTATTGTTGTTGTCGATGCAAATGAAATAGAATCAAACTTTCTTCTGTCAAACTTTTTAAAGATTTTGGACTCGGGGCCTATTTTTCAGAGATGGTGAGCACCCATAATTCAAGTCTTAAATTTACTGTCCTCTTGAATGCCATTTGAATCACAAATCACGTGACCACCACAGTTAATGAGATGGCTGAGTAGGAAGTAGTATGATGATGGTGAAGGCAAATGTCACCAGATGGTATCTATACTTCTATGTACTGGATCACCCCAAAATGAGATCAGGAAATAGCAAAGAGGTAGGCTGAGTTGGGCAAAACTCACAGGATATGGCATGATATACCCTAACCACCCACAGACATATAGTTCCTGAAGTAATATCAGACAAGTATGCTGCTGAAACATCTCAGCTTGTAACTGTTGGACAGACTAGAGGTCCTGTGCCCATGATTATCTTGCTAAGGCTTCAGCAAAACCTTGGCTCAACAAGGCCTCAGTTTCTAACAGGTCTCCCCACCCCTCTTTGCCCCTCTTCTCCTTAGTTTAATAAGGCCTCAGCTTGTAAGCAAGTTCCCTGGAAAAGACCAGGCTGGGTTGAGCTGCCAAAATATATATTGAGCAGGAAGTTTCAAGGATCTTGCAGATCACACCTCGAAGATAAGTCAAGTGACACATCTCCCAGGAAGACAGGAAGGTCTGAAGGGATATTCAGCACTAAGGGGGCAATTAATTGGTGCACATACCAAAGTATTGAAACGGGGTACATTATCATGAGCATCTCTTTAATAACTGGTGATTTGTTGTCTTATGTAATTATTGGAATCTGATTGGTTTCTATAGTTATTTGATGTATAGCTATGGTATAAAAGATATAGCTATTCTATCACACTTTGGACATATAAACTTCTATGCACATCCCTTCTGCAAACCAGTTTGATCACCTGGCTGCCAGTGATTAAAGATTTTATAATTATACTTGCTGTGTTGTTTCTTTAAGAGTATTATGTACTGTGTGCAGCAAGCCAGGGATGTAGTTAAACCATGGAGGTCTGGGGACTATCCAACCCAGCTACTTGCAACAGTAACAAGGCTCACTGACTGAGATGTTCAGTATGCTGAATTTGAGAGGATGAACAGTGTCCTCGGGGGCAGCATGTGGTAGAAGGTGGTAGATGAGAGTGAAAAACTACAGGGGTTGAACTGATGAGGAAGGACACTGGAAATGGGATTAAAAGAAACCAAGGAAAGGAATGAAACGACAGACAGTAAGGGAGCAAAAAAGGAAGAGAAAGAAAACAGGAAAGGACAACAGAAGAAGAGAGATGGCACTTGAGACTGACAAAGTCTTTTCTAGTCTAAAGGAGATTGAAGCGTCCAATTTAGATATTTACCATTAAAGAATACTTCTCAGTGGGGAAGTGTACATTAATGTATCAGTACAAGGAGGTTTAATTTAGGGCTGGGTTGTGGGTAGATCTGGCAAAAATCAATTCATAGCCTTCCTTCTGGGCTTCCCCTAGTGGCACTCTACTAGCCACCCTGAAAGCTGTTTTTATTGCCATCTGTATTAAGGATGTGCAAAATTTTGCCAGCTGTTTCGTTTCAACACTGTTTCGACCTGTTTCATGCTCGAAACAGTGAAACTGAAACGAAGCAAAGGGCTTTGAAACAGTCTCAGAATGAAATGAGGGCAGTCAAAACGTTTTAAAAATTTCGAAGCATTTTGAGTTTTGAAGCTCAAGCTGGGCTTGCCTGCAGGGAAACAGAAAGTAAGGAGAGGGAGAGGGAAGAGTGGGGAAGGGCTGCTCTCATACTGGCTGTGTAGCTGGCCAGTGACTGTGATCCTTCCCTGAGGCCCCTTCCAATCCCAGTGCTCTGGGGGAGGAATGGAAAAACAGCATAAAAGGCATCATTGTTTGAACTGGCCTGCTTTCTGCCTTGGGGTCTGACAGTTACTGAGCTACCTTCTAGAAGGTCAGGAGCGTTAGACAAAGGCTACTACTAGCATTGATTTGAATGATTTCCTATTTGCTAGCCTAGCTTAGCAAGAGGGATTCCAGAATACCTTTTTCTTTCTTCTAGACAATTTATTTTATTATTCTATTCATTGATTTATTCTTTTCAATTTTATAATTATATTGGATATAACACTACATAATTTAATTTATATAGGAAGGGAGATACATTCATATTTTATTTCTATACATTTATACCTTGCGGCATAGACTACACAACTTAGAGAATTTATAAAGGAATGCAGATACATTTATATCCTGCAGCATGGAAGACTACACACCTTACAGAATTTATATAGGAACACAGATACATTTATATATTTGTATAAAAGCAAGACACTATGAAACACACCATGAAGCATGGTGGAAAGTCAGCTGGCAAGCCTTCAGAGAGGGGCAGAAGCAGGGTAGAGGGAGAGGTGTAGGTTCCCTCCCCCCACAAACTGAGATGCAGCCTCTTTCCTACAACCAGCAGGGACGAGGCTTCCACAAATAGCAAGGAGAGGGGAGCAGTGCCAGTGCTACTGCCTGTGCCTGAGACTGCATCCCCTTCAAGAGCACCAGCCATAACCACCCCACCCCCACTGTCATGACAACTGTGCGGGCCGGGCGCAAGCCGGGCCCTTTTCCGTGCTGCACACGGGCTGTGGCCAGCAGCCTGGGCACGCGGGGTTGGAGAAGGGGGGGCACGATGAGCTGGAATTAGGCACAGATGCTTAGCGGTAGATTTAAAGATTGTTTACTTACACCAGTGATGGTCGTGGTGTAGGCTGGAAAACTTGCTTGAGTTGCGGTTACAGATGAAGACAACATGAACGGTCACGTGGAGTTTGCTAGGCTCCACGGAAACAGAGCTCCGGATGCTCTGGATGAGCGCGCCACCAAAATCGGAATCGTAGATACGTCTTATAATTTTTATCACTCGAAGATGGGAAGAGGTGGGCGATGGATCAGGTCGCCAAGCTCCTCTGGATCTCACACAGGGGACTTCCCTGCCGTGTACCCAGAGTCCCCACGAGATGGATGTGGAGTCCTCTTCGGCCTGGGCGGAAACCGCTCAAGCCTCTTATACGGCTAGCAGGCCAATCGCTAACTGCCACGTGGGAATAATTTAGAACTAGCCAATAGCGGGACACAAATTTGCATGCGGGTGGCGGGAAATCCTTTGCACCGTGCATCTCTCTTGCAACTTGAGCAATGCACCCTGCAAAGGAGATCACAAATAGGCGGGAAACTCGTCCCTGCACTGGAGCTTTCCTCTGCAGTAGAAAACTCCACCGTGCAATGAAGCTGCAACCTGGCGGGGATAATTCTGGTGCCGAAGCACACACAAAATCATACCTTTGGGTTATGACAACAACAAGCAGCAACACCAGAACCAGCATGACAGCTTCCTCCACCCCCATTTCACTTACCATGCTGAGCCTTCCAGCGGCAGAGGAAAAGCTGGATCTGGATCTGAGTACCATAGCAAGAGAAATTCTGGAAAAGGAGAGGAAATCAGCCGAGTTTGTTCTTCACACCCCTCAAGTTTCCCCTAAAGCCAGGTCTCCTTCCCCAGAAGCCACTTCAGAGGAGGCTAAGGTAGAGGTTATGGAGACAAGTGGCTCAGCTGAGTCCTCTCCTCCTGTTGCTGTGCCTTTGCTTGCTGAGGAGAGGGAAACTGCAGCATCCACACATGCACATTTTCCCCAGAAATGAATGAGTAGTGTGGTCTGGGATCATTTTGAGCTGGCAGATGATCCCACATACACTATCTGCCTGCACTGCCAAGCCAAAACCAGCCAGGGCAAGGGAACAAAACACATGAGCACCATGGGAAAGCTGATGCATTTCCACAAACACCACCCCCCTTGCCCTTGCTCCTCCTCAGCCTGGCACAAACAGAAGCATGCCCAAAAGGAATTCCCCCTCTCATTCCAAAGCCCCCAGCCCCCCAAAGCAGAGGCAGGCTACCCAGGAACAGTGGGAGAAAGGGGGACAGAAAGCGGGGCATGTTGCAAGGGCAAGCGAGATCACCCAGACCATTGGGGAGATGCTTCCTATAGATGGCCAGCCCTTCTCCTTAGTTGAGGGACCAGGGTTCAGGTGGCTCATGGCCCCAACCTACCAAGTGCCCACACACACTACCTTCAGTAGGACAGTGGTGCCCTCCCTCTATGAGGCATGCAGGGCATACTTGAAGGAGGAGCTGCACAAGGCAGGTCTGCAGGTGGCCTTCCACTTCACCTCGGACAAATGGAGCAGCCAAGGTGGAGATCACACCTACCTCTCCCTCATAGGGCACTGGTGCAACCAATTAGGCCGTCAGCGGGCTCTCCTTCAAGCCAAGGTGATGGATGAGTCCCACACGGCAACCGAGATCATGGGGGCCATGAGCCACTTGGTGCAGGGGTGGCTTGTTGGGAAGGGTGAGCTCATCCATGGGTTCATGGTCACCAACAATGGGGCCAATATGGTTAAAGCAGTCTGTGATGCCAATTTTGTTGGCATCCGCTGTCTGGCACACAAGTTGCACCTCATTGTCAGGGATGCCTTGGAGGGGGACAGAGCTGCCGGTGACAGCACCAGCACCACCAGAAAACTCATTTCCAAATGCATGAGATGGCAGGCTACTTCCACCAGAGCATCAAGGGGTGCGGGGGGCAAGATGCTGCAGGACAAACAAGCAGAGCTGAACATCATGCAGCACAAAATCATGAAGGATATGGAGACTCAATGGAACTCCACATACCTGATGCTTGAAAGGCTGGTGAAGCAACAAAAGGCCAGCCATGAAATGGTCTTGCTTGGGGAGATTGGGATCAGCGGCCCCCTTAACAGAGCTGAGTGGGATACCAGCTCCCAAATATTGGTGGTCCTCAAGCCCTTCCTCAAGGCCACTGAGACCCTCAGCACCAAA